GTTCAAGGTATCACGTGCCTCGCCTCTCTCGATTTCTCAACTTTGAAATCGTTTCAGCACACTCAGAGATTGTTTGCCCTTCCAATTTCCCACCCGAAACCCCTTTCAACACCCCCATTTTTATCCAAGAAAATTATTTCGTCGTTTAGGCATTCACTGCTCTTGAGCTCACTCAACAAGTCACTAGTTGCTCAAAAAGTATATGTAAACCTCCCCTCATTTTTCCTATCTTCAGGACATCGAGCTATCCAAGGAGATCAACGAGTCGTTCAGGCAATCGTCGCAGGCCCGTGAGAAGCTGCCAGCTGGCATCGAGATGAACGTGCACGTGCTCACCATGGGGTGAGTGAGTGCTAAGTGGACCAGTGTTGACCAGCGTTGACCAGTGTTGACCTTGCTGTGACTTTCAAGAGGGCCTCGAAAGTGAGAAGCTTCCAGCTGACATCGAGATGAACGTGCGCGTGCTTACCATGGGGTGAGTGAGTGTGATTGCTCAATTGTACAGCACTGACTGTGGGGTGAGTCCTTGCGCCGTTGACCAGTGTTGACCGGCATTGACCATGAGGTGGGTTTCATTTTTACTAGTGTCGACCAGTTTCGGATAAGTGCCGAGTTTACCAGGGTTTCGCATTTTGATCTTCCCATTCCCCCTACCGTGCCCAGCTACTGGCCCACATACCCTCCTGTGGAGGTGCAACTACCATGGGAACACGGTGTGTATCAGGACATATTCCGGGACTTCTATGTGGGCAAGCACAGCGGGCGGCGGCTCATGTGCCTTACTCTCCTCGTCTGTCTTGATCCTCTCCTCGTTCTCCTCGTTTTCCCCGTCTTACAGCTACTGGCCCACATACTCACCAGTGGAGGTGCAGTTACCACGGGAGCTGGGGGTCTATCAGGACATATTCCGAGACTTCTATCTGGGCAAGCACAGCGGGCGGCGACTCATGTGGCAGCACAGCCTGGGGCACTGTGTGGTGCGGGCGGATTTCCCCAAGGGGAAGAAGGAGCTCTCGCTCTCTCTCTTCCAGGTACAGTGCGGTGCTGTGTGGTACTGTGTAACACAGTGTGATGTTGGGCGGTAGTGTGTGGTACTGTGCGGTGCCGCATGGGTCTCGCGCTCATGTGGCAGCATAGCCTGGGGCACAGTGTGGTGCGCACGGACTTCCCCAAGGGGAAGAAGGAGCTCTCACTCTCGCTCTTCCAGGTACTGCGCGGTGCTATGCGATGCTCTGTGGTAAGGTGTGGTACTGTGTGGTACTGTTTGGTACTGTGCAGTACTGCATGGTCTCTCTCCTCTTGTGCTCGTGTGGCAGCCCAGCCTGGGGGGGCCCGGACCCGAGGGCTTTTCAACAGTGCCGGCTGCCTGCCTGTCCGTTGTGCATACTCTTCATTCTTTATCTCGACCTCTCCTGGTTGCTCCCTGCCCCGAGACGTGGTGCTGATGCTGTTCAACGATTCCGACCGCCTGTTCCCCACAGAGGTCCGCGAAGCCATGGGCATCACTCTTTGTCCCTCCTCCCCTAACCTGATTTTCCCCCACACCCCCCTGCCCAGAGACCGTGCTGCTGTTGCTGTTCAACGATTCCGACCGCCTGTCCTTCACTCTTTGTCGTTCCTCCTCCCCCAACCTGACTGCGCTGCACATCCCCTTCCCCCAGACTGTGGTGCTGATGCTCTTCAACGATGCGGGCCGCCGGTCCTTCACGGAGAGCTGCACACGACCCTCTCTCTCGTTTCCTATTCACCTGACCTGCTTTCATCACACACCCTTTTCCCCCAGACCGTGGTGCTGATGCTGTTCAACGATGCTGACCGCCTGTCCTTTGCGGAGATCCGAGATGCCACGGGGATTACCGATGCGGAGCTCAAGCGCACGCTGCAGTCGCTAGCATGCGGGAAGACCAGGGTGCTGCAGAAGGTACGGTGCAGTGCGGTCTGCTGTGGTTCAGTGCGGTACAGTGTGGTGCAGTGTGGTTGCAGGATGTATATACTGCAATGGGTGCCACGGGCATCACCGACGCAGAGCTCAAACGCACACTGCAGTCGCTGGTGGCGGCAAGACCAGGGTGCTGCAGAAGGTGCGGTGCAGTGCGGTTTGGTACGATGTGGTGCAACTGCCCCCAATACTTGAGTGAACTTCCCGTCACTCCCCTTTTCCGTCCTTTCACATGTGCGGTACATGCTCTGTTGCAGCCAATTCTCAACCTTAAAACCCAGCATGTGCTTCCGTCCTTTCCTTTTGCATCTATTTTGTGCCTGCAGATTCCCAAGGGCCGTGACGTGTCAGACACCGATTCGTCTGATTATACAGGTCGTTCGAGTGTGTGTTTGTTTCCTTTCTTTTGCTTCTCTTCTACCCGCACGCCTGCAGATCCCCAAGGGCCGTGACGTGTCAGACACTGATTCGTTTGAGTTCAACACAGATTTCACGGCATCGCTGTTCCGACTCAAGGTGCGAACGATGGGATTGAGAAGCAGAAGGAAGGTGAGGAGGGATGGATACCACTTAGCTGACGTGACAGTAATTGTCTTCTCCTCCCAGGGTTTACACGCATGCAGATGGAAGGAAGAGGGGCGGACAAGAAGGGTGGGAAAGGGGAGGACGGGGAAGAGAGCTGATTGATTGGGCACTGCTTGTTTGTCGAATTTTTCTCTCTTTTCATAGATACAGCCTACAGGTCTATGAGGCGTCCTGAAAGATGTTATGTTGTGTTAGTGTGGTTTTTTTAAATGTCAGTGCACTTTTGGGTTTGCTGCATTCATGCCTGTCATATGCATAACATGCGTGACTGTAGGTGAACGCGATTCAATTGAAGGAGACGCCAGAGGAGAACACCAACACCACGGAGAGAGTTTTCCAGGACAGGCAATACCAGGTACTCGTTATAGGCAATACCAGGTACTCGTTATAAGTAGCAGCTGGTAGTCATTATAGGCAAAACCATTTTTTTTTTAAGGACACGACCAAGTATTCCTTATAGGCAGTGCATTCCTAGGATTTTTGCTGCATGATACAGGCATGTTTGTTGGTTCATGTGCAATGGACTCATGGTCGTTCCATTCCACCCTCCCTGAAACGTTTGGCAGATTGATGCAGCCATTGTGAGAATCATGAAGACTCGGAAAGTGCTCAGCCACACGCTGCTCATCACTGAGCTCTTCCAGCAGGTGTGTGTTCTCACGGGGGGGAGGGGGGGCAATGCACTCTGGTGTGCCAGAGGTTGTTAGTTGGTCGACTCAAAGGGTGTGAAGACTCGCAAGGTGCTCAGCCACACGCTCCTCATCACCGAGCTCTTCCAACAGGTGGCCTTCTCACAGGGGGGAGGGGGTGCAAGGCACTCTGGTGTGCCTGAGGTTGTTAATTTGTTGACTTAGAGGGTGGGAACACGTGCAATGTGCTCAGCCACACGTTGCTCATCATGGATCTCTCTTCCAACAGGTGGGTAGTCTCACAGTTGCACGCGATTATCCAGCAATTACACATTCTTACAGGGATAATGAGACGTCTCAAAACACGCGATTGTCCAGCAGTCACTCATTCTTACAGGGATTATCCAGTCACACGTTTGCCATGCTTTGGCTTCTGTCAATATCTCCCCCTCTTCCTCTGATGCACTCACGTGTCCTCTGCCTTCCTCTCCTTATTTGAAGTGCTCTGTCCTCCCTGCCTCACTCATTGTGCCACGTGACGTGTTTTCTGCACCCACTCCTGCTGTATCCCCCGCATTATTTTCTCTTGCCTTAACCCACCTACTTGCACGTTTGCTTTTGCTCCCATGTTGCACATGTCTACTCCTGTTCATGCCTACGTTCACATGTCTCTGTCTCTGTCTCTGTCTGTGTGCCTCTCTCTGCCTGCTCCAGCTCCCCATCAAGCCTGCTGTTCTGAGATCGTCTGTAAGCTTGTACTATTTTTTTTTGTCTGTGCCTGTGTGTGTGTGTGTGTGCCTCTCTCTCGCCCTCCACAGCTCAAGTTCCCGATCAAGCCGGCGGATCTGAAGAAGCGAATAGAGAGCCTCATCGACCGCGAGTACTTGGAGCGAGACAAGAGCAACGCTCAGATCTACAACTACCTCGCCTGATTCATTCCCCACTGCACTCCAGCTATGCATACTCGCATATACAGCTACACCTGGTGTGGTCTGGAGTGGGACCGTGGGACAAGAGCAACGCTCAGATCTACAACTACCTCGCTTGATTTCCCACGGCACACACACACAGATCTTAGTGCGCAGTCAGCTGTCTGAGTGCACTCCGGCAATACACACACACACACACACACACACACACACACACACACACACACATACAGCTACTGCAATGCACACGCACGCGTATACAGCTACCTGGCATAGTTTTTGAACGGGGCCAAGCAACAGAGTCCACAGGGCAGGATGATGGCACTCACAGGCCTAGACTGGAATATGCCGTTCTTATGTGCTACTATTGTACTGCGTGTGATTTCTGTTCATTCTTTTTTGTGATGCTTGTCTGCAGCACTGCTAGTGCATGCTGCATGCTGCCTGGACTTACCGTACTGCAATTGCCAGTGTATTCAGTAGACAGGCCGGCAACCAAGCAGGGGGGCAGGCATGCAAATAGACGGGGGCCAAGACAGGCTGGTGGGTGAAAATGTAGAGGTGCAATCAACTTCAGATTGCAAGTAGGTGAGGGACAAGACCGCTTCTTCCTTAGAACAAGACCAACAAGTCGTTGATGGAAGGGAGGTCTCATCCCAACAAGCCCAACATCTATAGATCTACTGTGCGCGAGTGTGATGTGCCTGTAGGAGTTAGGAAGGAATGCAGCTTGGAAGTTCTCTGCTTCACTGGCAGGGGCACGATGGCACTGGAACAAACCAGCTTCAGTCACATACCCATTACAAGAATATGATATGATACCGTAAGATCACAGGATATGATGTATATGACTACATGATTCCTTCCAGGTTCCAATGCACATCCGGAAGGAAGACCTGCTGCAGTTTACCGATGCCACTACTCGTGTATTTGGGATTTCTTATTCAGCAGAGCGCCTTTTTCCTCCCCTGTCACCGCACTCCACACCACACCACACATTTGAAAGCCCACCATTACCGTCGCCAATACCCCCTCAACTGCACAAGATGACTCAACACATCCTTCCCCTCCGCAGTCACTGCGCTCGTCATCACCCACAGCAGTAGCTCAGCATAGCACTCCAGCCAGCTCCTTGAATTGTAACAGCCACACCACAGGACTCCACGCAGCACCACACCACGCCATAACAGACCACACCAAACCCCACCACTAACGTTGCCAGAACTCCCTGAGCTGTGCAATATGGGCTAACAAAGCGTCCTTGCCCTCTCCCGTCACAGCGCTCGTCATCACCCACGGTGGCAGATCAGTGTAACTGCATACCCTGACAGCCCAACATCCAAGATTCCACACCACTACCGCCGCCAGAACTCCCTCAACTGTGCAATATGGGCTAACAATGCGTCCTTGCCCTCTCCAGTCACCGTGCTCGTCATCGCCCACGGTGGCAGCTCAGCGTAGCACTCTGCCAGCTTTGTATTGCAACAGCCCAACCACACAGCACCACACAGCACCACACTACTACCGCCGCCAGAACTCCCTCAACTGTGCAATATGGGCTAACAAAGCGTCCTTGCCCTCTCCCGTCACAGCGCTCGTCATCACCCACGGTGGCAGCTCAGCGTAGCACTCCGCCAGCTCAGCGCGGAACAGCGCCGCGTTGACAGCTGGCGGGCGGCCGTTCCGCCTGGCCTTCTTTTGCCTGTCGCACTTGGTGAACACGACAGTGAGGGGGATCTGAGGAGGGGGGAAGAGGGGTTTGGGGGGGAAGCACAGAAAACGATCAACACCTTTCCGCCGGGCCTTCTTCTGCTGATCACACTTGGTGAACACGACAGTGAGGGGGATCTGGAGGGGAAATGGGGAAGGAGGAGGGGGTTAAAGGACGGGGCATGGAGTGGGGAATGGTGATTCCCAAGTGAGGGAGCAACAACTGTGAGGGGGGTCTGGAAGGAAGGAGATGGGGGGGTGAGGGACATAGGGGACACATGGGGGACAAAAAGGGCACACATGAGGGCAAGCACTTGCCTACTGGCCGTCTCCCAGTGTGCCCGTGTGCCCGTGTGCCCGTGTGCCCTTGTGCCCTTGTGCCCGTGTGCCCCTGTGCCCCTGTGACCTTCCGCATGGCATTTTTGCCATGAGATCGCACTTGGTGAAGAGCACAGTGAGGTGGAATTTCCCAGAAGCAACCTAAACACCCAAACCAGCACAGTCATTCCCAAGACAACCCAAGTTAACGCTACTCACCTTGTTCCTCCCCAGCCAGTCAGCGCACTCCACATCAATGGCTTGAGGGGGAATGGTGGCATCCACCAGCAGCAGCACGGTGAGCAGGTTGGTGCGCGAGGTGAAGTAGGCCTTTGTAAAAGCGTTCCATTCCGTTCGAATGGCGTTTGGGGCCACTGCATAGCTGGTGTAGGGAGGAAAGAGGTGGGGAAGGGGGGGGGTAACAACAGCAGCAGCAGCAGCAGCAGCAGCACGGTGAGCAGGTTGGTGCGTGAGGTGAAATATGCCTTGGTAAAAGCGTTCCACTCTGTCCTTATGGCATTGGGTGCCACGGCGTACCTGGGGAGGAAAGTGGGGAAGGGGGGGGGGTTAACAGCAGCAGCACGGTGAGCAGGTTGGTGCTCGATGTGAAGTAGGCCTTGGTAGACGCATTCCACTCCGTCCTTATGGCATTGGGTGCCACGGCGTACCTGCACGAGTGGGGGGGAAAGGGGGCGCAGCAGCAGCAGCAGCATGAGGAAGGAGACGTGAAGTAGGCCATGGTGAATGCATTCACTCTATTCTCACCCATAGCCCGACTTTTGAGGCAACTCAGCCCCCAAACCCCCTCAAAAGAAAAAAAAGAAAAAAAAACACACACACACACACAAAGATAATTCTAAAAGGCCTCCGTATATGACAAGAGTAGTGAGATCATGTCAAGCATGGGGATTAAAACCCCCCCGCACTCTAAAAGGATAGTCTCAAGGCATCAACACTCACTCACCCGTAGCCCGGCAAATCCACGAGGTACCAGGAGTCGTTGATAAGGAAGTGGTTTATCAGCTGCGTCTTGCCTGCAGGGCAGGTGGGAAGAGGGGATGGGGGGGGGAAGGGGGGAAATGGGAGATGGGGTAAATGGGAGAGAGGGGAGCGGGGTGAATGGGAAATGGGGGTAAATGGGAGAGGGGGAAGCGAGGGTTAACGGAGGAAAGGGAGAGGAGCGGATGGGGAGATAAGGCAAGTGGTACCACAGGAGAATTAGATCAAACCTAAGGAGACTTTGATCAATGGTCAGCATGTTGATGAGAGTCGATTACGATGCTAGCAAGGCGAGGGGGGATATTGAGCAAACCTAAAAAAACTTCCAGCCCTAAACCCTCAACCCTGATCCAGATTCACCTGCTTTTTTCTTTTTTCACGTTTGAGCTGGGCCTATATGGTTGGTCCACATGCTGTTGAGAGAAGATAGCCATAATAGTAAGGGAGGATTCACGAGTAAAACCTAAAACCCTCGAAACCTGCAACCTGAAACCCAAAACCGTGAACTCACCTGGTTTCTTGGAGGTCTGTGCTAGCCCCTTGTGATTTGTCAACATGTTGATGAGGGATGATTTCCCCACGTTGGATCGGCCAATCACAGCAAACTCCGGGATCTTCGTATCCTTAGGGCACTGCGCCACACTGCTGCTGCTCTTCACAAATACTGCCGATTTCACCCGCGGGGCTTGCCGCCCGGGCGGCAGCACCAGACTGCCCGTGGAGAGCTCCTGTTCTGACTCAGCAAGGGCTCGTTCCACGTCAGCATCGCCTCCGTCCCATTCTCCCTCGTCCTCTTCCTCCCACTCGTCCTCCTCAAAATCCCCCTCGTTATACTCACGCTTCTGCTCCCCCAATGGAACATATCGTTCCTCAGGCCCCTCAACCCTAATTTCCGAACCTCCGGCGGTTCGTCTCTCCCGAACCTGCAAGGAATCAGGCTCCGGACCGTCTTCTTGCTTCGAAGCTGGTCTGGCAGGAGGCTTGGAACTAAGCTTGGCAGCAGGTTTGGGTTTTGCGCCACCCTTGGGATTACCATGAGGCCTGCTCTTAGTACTTTTTGTAGTCTTGATGCTCTTAGTGCTCTTAATAGCCTTACTCTGACTGCTGCTGCTGCCCGCACTTTTGGGCCGATTTCCCGTCTTTCCCACCTCGCGACTACTTACACTGCTGCCGCTGCTACTCCCAAAACCACGGCCGCTGCTGCTGCTGCTGCTTCGGATGTTTATTCTGGATTTACCCGGATTAAGCGAAGGTGTTGCTGGGGAGGCTGTTAACACTGGCACGCCCGAAAATGGGGAAGATTTAACGGCCAGAAAGCTATGGAGTGGAGAAAGAGCGTTCGGTTTTGAGGAAATCCCGAGGCTAAGACGACAGCTGATGTGAGTCGCGGAACTGGCGAGAGCTGACGTGGCAACGGCTGACGTGGAACGACCTAGAGAGTGCGGCGACATTGCTGCACAGGCGGTGTGCGAGTGTTGAAATTGGTTCAAGGGGATTCGCTGATCCATGGCGTGACTGTAATGGGAGACAGTTTGGTGGGATGGGTGAGATGGGTGGGACGCTACGACTGCGGGTGTGGCCGCTACGGCCGCTGATGTGGGAGCTACAGCCGCGATCCAACGGGGTGGAACGGTTTGATTTGCCAGTCCAAGGCAGCACGGTGCTCCGGAAACGGTGGGAACGTTGCGCGGGAGTGGCTGCTGCGCGGAATCAAGCGCGCGCAAAGCGCCAGTCACAATGAGATTCCGCGAATCGCGCAGAAAGGAGGTTGCGGGAACAGCGGCGAGGGATCGTGCGACGTGAGGGAGTAACATTCAGACGAGCTGGCGGGGAGCGTTCGCCGCAGGAGATAGCGTCGCGTATCGAGCCGGGATATGGTGGCGCAAGAGGTGGCGCTTCGCAGGACTTCACCTACGATTGCGCGAGGCAGTTATCCGTTCCTGGTAACTCCTGAAATTTCCTGTAACTGTGTGGCTTGATCTGCTATGGTGGCTAGTCTGCCTGCCAGTGGCCATTGCGTACCTGACCTGGACAGCGAAATCTGGCTATTCCACGTGGCGTGCGGCTAGAAATGGGCCCACAACGCAGAGTCGAGCAGAATGCTCTTCGAGTCTCAAATTCTCAGAAGCCTGTAGAGCAAAGTATCAGCCGTGAGTTACACACATAGCGAACTATTCTTTCGCCTTTTACTAAAGAATACCGTGTGTGTTCCTCGCTAAGCGGCATACATAAATTTTTGGAGTGCCCCTAACGGGGCGCAACAAATGAAAGTTGAAACGGGATGATCAAGTGGGTTCTTCACCCCTTACTTTGTAAAACGAACAATTGGCTCTTGTTAAAACCTGAATTATGGTGGTTGTGCTATTCGTGAAACTGGAAATGGCCACTTGTCTCTACGGTCAATTCAATTTCTGTTACACATGCTAAGTAACTCGCACATTTGCATTCACATTGGTGATGACACAATACACATACTAGTACTAGAGTTGGAACCGTAACACTGACAAAATACTAGTTCTAATTCCAGCTCTGATCCAGCATTTGCTACTAGATGACCTTAGTTGCACAAGCCACCTGGCTGCTGCAACAAAATGTGCTATGTATATCCTCTTCGCTAAGCCGCTCTTGCCTGAACTAATAGCCACACCATAAAAGGTGGCAACTACATCATCTCTGTTGCTGGTGCCGCCCACTGTACACCTCATCAAAGCTAAGCTCCTGCTGGACTGATGGCCACAACATCGATAATATCCACCTCACCATCATCTGCAACGCCGCGTGCACTGCGCTTGCTGTTACCCCCACTGGCACCTTTGTTGTTGCTGCTGCCGCTGTTGGTGCTTTTAGCAGCGGAGCTTTGAGCTTTTCTTGGGGAGGCCCAGCCCTTGGGTGTCCACACCACGTGGTGGCATCCTCGGCAGATCAGCAGCTCGCGACGCGGACCGATGAAACGAACTCCACATGAAGGGCAATCACCCTGATAAAATAAGGGAGGATGGTGAGAAATAAGGAAGCGTGAAAAAATGAACGCGTGAGCAAAGAACAAGAGGGCGCGGACGCGTAAAAAGGCTGCGACATTCAGATCAGGGAGCAATCAGCATGGTTCAGAAGGGTGTGATACGAAAATGGCAGAGGTTTATTGAAAGCTATAGGAGAGACAGACGCTTTGACTCTTCAGGGATTCCATTATACAAGTGATGGAGAGAGGATGAAGCAGGAGCTTAGAGCCTGAAAAACAGTAAGGAGTATACGAAGAGACAAGACAGTTTAATGAAGAGAAGAACAGTACCTCAACGAAGGCTGCTTTGGCGAGCGCTCTGGCGAGCAGAGGGAGCAGTGGGACGATGCAGAGCGACCAGAGGAAGATCTGCGCTAGCCAGCCCGAGATGAGCAGCCACGCGAACGCCACGAACTGAGGGACGGAGGGAAGCGGGCGAGAGTGGAAAGGTCAATGACGATCCATGGCGAGAGTGGAAAGGTCAATGACGATCCATGGCGAGAGTGGAAAGGTCAATGACGATCCATGGCGAGAGTGGAAAGGTCAATGACGATCCATGGCGAGAGTGGAAAAAGAGTGAGGGAGTTTGGGAGGGAGTCAAGGGAGTGGAAGAGGAGAAAGAGAGGACGAATGAGGTTAAATGCAGCGAGAGCGGCGTGCAAAGAGCACAAGGCTAGAGCGGAGACGACGACCACAGGTGGACAAGGACTCGTAAAGAGCGATGGGACAGTAGGGGAGGGTAGCAACGAGGGCGCCAGCGAGGGGTGGGGAAGCATACCATAACGAGCTGGCCGGCCGGCGTGGTTCTGAACTCCGCCCACCGCTTCAGATACTGCGCGGGGCACGCGCGCGGGGGGGCGGGGACAGAGCGGGGGGAGCAGGAGAGGAGCGGGAGAGGGGAGTCGGGGAAAGAGGGGGCATATGGGGTTGGGTAAGGCGGGAGAAGAGGGGAAGATGTACGTCGGACGAAGGGGTGGATGGCGGGGAGGAGGGCCGGGGAAAACGATATCGCGGGACAAATATCTGAGGGCGAAGTAGGGTTACTTGGCTTAAACTCGCAAGATGCGGCCCAGATGCAGAGGGAAACGGTGAGAGACAGCGCAGGATCAAGGTGGGGAGGGGAGTGATAGGGGAACGGGGGGGTGGGAGTGCGGCGAAGGGAAGCGGAGTGCTGACGGTGGGAATACCTTTGGTAGTTGATACTGTATCTCCTTGATCATGTCTCGCATTCTTTGTCGGATCCGCAAGTTACAGTCCACATCGTACGCCGCACCAACCACGGCGCGTTTCATCTCCTCCACTCTTCTCGAAACCCCGAACTGCGCGTCGAACCGGAACGCGTGCCTCTCCGCCTCGAACGCGACCTCCTCGAGCAGCTCGTTCGCGGCGCCCACCGCCTCCCGCGCCTTTCCGCGCAGGTCATTATCACGCTCAAACTCCGCCACCTTGCTCTGCGCGCAGCGCAAAGCGCCCGCCGTGCCGTCCGCTATTTTCCGCAGCGCCACCTTCGACTGCTTCTTGGCGGAGCGAAAAGCGCGAGAAAGCTCCTCCTGCAGCTCTTCCGGATTGAGATTGAAAGGCGGCTCGTCAGGGCCGGACCCGGCTGCGGGAAAATCGGCGGCGGACGCGGCAGCGGCTGACGCGGCGACGCGGGGGACGGCGGAAGAGGACACGGTGCGGAGGCCGGGAGGAAGCGCGCCGGGGGGAAGCGCGCAAGGGGGAAGCCGGAGGCGGGTTGAGGGCTTGTTGGGCGCTGAGGTCGATTTCGAGAGGCGTGAGGTTGATCCTTTGAAGGGCGGCGACCAGGTGGTTTGACGAGACGAGGACGACGAAAGGCTGGGGTGCGACGATTTTAGGGATAGCTTGGACGACGTTATCGGAGACGAGAGGTCTAAACGTGCCGCCATTGCGCTCTTATGCAAGGTGGGTGAGCTTCGTGGAAACGATTATCAGGCGAGAAGATCAGCTTTGTTGCTGCAGACCAGCGGACTAAACAGCTCCTAACGATGCCCGCTTCAATGAGGACGCAGTGGCCAGCTCCACAGTTCGCCTCCCGTCGTAGCCTAAAATAGCGTTTGCGACAACAATTCTCCACGATCTCTGGAGCCTACTAATGTAGCTGCTCGAACACTGGAGCGAGGAGTAATTTTCCAACGCCTACCGAAAAGGAGGAACCGAAAGGAAGCGTGTAGAAACCCTCATAATTTCTACGAACCGAAACGAAGCTGCAACTGCAATCATCCTCAGATCAGCTTTCGCCCTTTGTCGTTAGGCCAGCCATTTTCTGACTGACCCTAGGTCGAAATCGTTACCCTTGTTTCGCCATCCTTCGTCTAGCTAGGCTGTGTTTGCACTTCAGCGATTCCAAGCGAATCGCGGTGCGAAAGCTGCTATCCAAGCCTGGCTGGCATGATCCACCAGAATGGCAGTCACGTGTAACTGCGAAGCGTCACTGGCTCGAACCCGTGACTCTCGTTCCATCCACGTCAGTATTCCCATTTGGCTGTGAATCCTCCCAACGCTTACTCTGTTCCAACCGTGGCACATGTGGCCGCGTGGACGGATCGATCACTGCCAGACAGATCTTCACGAGCGTGTGAACCGCGTCAGTACACGTCACTATTCGCAATGTTGACGGAGAAAATCGACTCTGACGAGCCTCGATATCCCTGTGCTGGCGTGGACGTGCCTTGTCGTTGTGTACTGGTGCGTGATCCATTGAATTCACCAATCGCATATTCGATCAGGCTCCACGTCATAATACAGAACACCTAAGAAGTACAGCTTGACAGAGCGCACAGAAACAAAAAAGAAGGAACAAATTCCATTATTGAATTTAACAACATATGGATGCATGAATTCATGGTTGGATATTATGTGAAAGACACACATCCAAAAAAAATATCTGTATCTCTTAATATAATCTTGTGATTCGTATGTCTCCTATATTATTATGGCCTCATTGCTTTCCGATAGGCAGATAGTGGTATGCCTGGATTTTGTGTGAGAATTTCTTTCGTTTTTATTCTTGTAGCGAAGCTTCTTGACAGAATCGTTCTATCTTTGGGAACCACGTGGGCCGAATTCCCTTGAAAAGTACCACGTGGGAAGCTAGAGTTCCCATCCCACGTGATCACCATCCACGTCGGAACAGGCCTTGGGATTTGCTAAAATTCCGTGCTCCTCCTGAACCTGGGAGGGGGTTCTCGAATGCAGAACTTGATCGTGTGAGCGTCGGCTTGTGAGAGGCAGGAAGATTTGGCTTGTCCTGGTATGCGAGCCTGAATCCTTCTCGTTCCGCCAGCCACAAGTCTCAGTTCCCACGCCTTCCGCCTCCATTGCTCGCATCTTGTCCGGTCCGCATCGTCCGCGGCCGATCCGGGTTATCCCGTCCCGATTCCATTATTTACCACTGATTCCATCCCGGGAATTCCACTCGATCGATCCCGCCATCGCATATCACCGCATCCTGCCGCATCTCACTGCATGCCACCGAGTTCCGTCGTTTCCTGCCGCATTCCCTCCCTGTAATTCACCTCGCACACCCGCAAGCAAGACATCATGGCTCCGTCACGCCGGTTGCACACTCTGATCCGCCGCGCACTCAATCACAACTTCCATAGCCATAGCCACAACCTTATCTCTCGTCACGTTCCCGCGCTGGCAATTTCTTCCGCTGCGCTTGCTCCGCTGCCGGCCGCCGCCAGCGGTGCGCTTCCGCCGTTGTGCCGCGGATTCGCGTCCGCCTCCGCCGCGGGTGGCGGAAGCGGAGCCCCGCGCGCGCCGGCGACGGAGAGCGAGGAGCTGGGCGCGAGCCGCGTGGTGGAAGCGTCGTTGACGCTGGTGCGCGAGCGAGCGCGACTCAAGGTAACCGTTGCTCACCTTAACCCCTTATTCCCCGACCCGCTTATCCCCCCTGTCCTCTTTCCCCGCTGTCCCCTGTCCCTCATCCCCCCTTCTCCCTTACCCCTCTGCCCCCTGAACTCCCCCAATCCTCTAACTCCCTGAATACCCCGTTTTCACGCTGCCATTCTGCCCCCTTGCCCCCTCCCCCATTGTCCCCCTACCTTCCTGTTCCCTTATCCCCCTACCCCCCTCATCCCCTCATACTAACTGCAAACAATTACGTTGGGATTCCCGCTGCTCCCTTGCCTCCTGCCCTCCATGCCTCGTGCATCACAGGCGGAGAAGGTGCGAGCAGCAGGGGGAGCAGAGGCGACAGCGTGTCTGCTGGGGGTGCCGCTGGGTCACAACTCCAGCTTCCTGCAGGGCCCTGCCTTCGCCCCTCTTATCCCTCTGCCATACTCTCCCTTGTCCACCTCCCGTGCCCCTGTTGTGGTAACCACAGGCAGAGAAGGAGCGTTTGACCACCTCCACTCCTGTTCCCTTACTCCGTCTGTGCTCTGCTGTCCTATCTTACATCACAGGCGGAAAAGGTGCGAGGAGCAGGGGGCGCAGAGGCGACAGCGTGTCTTCTCGGGGTGCCTCTGGGGCACAACTCCAGCTTCCTGCAGGGCCCTGCCTTCGCCCCGCCCCGCATTCGAGAGGCCATTTGGTGTGGCTCCACCAACTCGGCTACAGAGGAAGGTGAGAGTTGACTAGCGTTGACTAGTAGCGTTAACTTGTGTTGACTAGAGTTATTGACTGCCTTCGCCCCTCCCCGCATCCGAGAGGCCATTTGGTGTGGCTCCACCAACTCTGCCACAGAGGAAGGTGAGGAAAGAGAGAGGTGACTGGCATTGACTTTGGTTGACTAATATTGACTAGAATTGACTCCCTTCACCCCTCCCCGCATCGAAAAGGCCATCTGGTGTGGCTCAATCAACACGGCCATACAGGAAGGTGAGGGGAGAGAGAAAGGTCTAAAAAGGAGTCAACAGAATTCAGCAGAAGTCAACACAAGTCAACTTCAAACAGAGGAGTCGCATCCGAGAGGCCATCTGGTGTGGCTCCACCGGCTCGACGACAGAGGAAGGTGAGACGAGTGGGAGCAGTTGGTCAACTGAAAGAAGGCGAGTGAGACAGAACACCAATGATGTAACAGAGAGGTAACAGCTGCAGCAGCAGCTACTTCACTTCACGTAGCAATGTCTACTGCAGCATAGCAAATCAAATTACATATTTCTCCTGTTCTGATTTAGGTAGCACGCGAGTGTCGTTCACATCGTCCTACGTTTTCCACGCCTTTCCCTTCTGATCTTCCTCCCACTGTCGCTGCTCCTCTGCCCCGAGCAGGCAAGGATCTGAACGACATTCGAGTGCTCACAGACGTGGGGGACGTGCCCGTGCAGGTGAGGAGGGTTACTGGTGCAGGTGGTATTCGGTGCAGGTGGTATCTGGAGCATTATGCAGGTAGTATCTGGTGCTCACAGACGTGGGGGACATGCCCATACAGGTGAGGCGAGGGGGTTACTGGTGCAGGTGGTATCTGGTGCAGGGGCTCATGGTTCAGGTGGTATCTGGTGCAGGGGCTCATGGTTCAGGTGGTATCTGGTGCAGGGGCTCATGGTTCAGGTGGTATCTGGTGCAGGCTCATGGTTCAGGTGGTATCTGGTGCAGGCTCATGGTTCAGGTGGTATCTGGTGCAGGTGGCATGTGGAGTAGGTCGTATCTGGTGCAGGTGGCATGTGGAGTAGGTCGTATCTGGTGGAGGTAGTCGCAAATGCAGATGACATGTGGTGCCGGGCGGAATGGCATTGGAGATGTTTTTGAGACATCTCAGAAACACCTTCACTTCACGGAGATGCTTCACTTCCTCACATGCCGCTTTGTATGGAGCATCTGGGTGCAACTGCTACTTACCGCCTGGTCCAGACGTCGCCTACGACTTCGGTTCTACGCCAGCTCAGCCGCATCCGCACGACCTGGGGACCTGCTTTACCTGAAAGCCTCTGGAAGTACTTCTTTGACGAACCTCACGGTGGGTGGCGCCCAGCAGCCTTCTACGTTCTACCTAAGCTCCATAAGAAAACCCTCGAAGGGCGGCCGATCGCCGCCTCGCACTCCTGGGTAACTACGAATGTGAGCCGCTGGTTGGACGACGTTCTTCGGCCGCTCGTGTTAAAACGACCCACCTACCTCCGTGACTCCCTGTCGCTGTTGGCAACGCTAGAGAAGACGCCGTTTCCCTCGACCGTCCTTCTAGCAACCTACGATGTTTCCGCACTCTACCCGAGCATCTCCATTGAGCGCGGACTCGAAGCTGTCGACAGCTTCCTACACAGGGAAAACCACCCACTTGCCTCACCGATCATGGCCCTGCTCGGATGGGTTATGAAGAATTCGTACGTCGAGTTCAACGGCTCTGTCTACCATCAACGACAAGGGACAGCGATGGGTACACCAGTAGCTGTGTGCTTCGCGGTTCTGTTCATGAGCCGTATCGATGAGATCCTGAAGGAGAAATGGAGCGGGACGCTACCTGCATTCCACGCGCGCTACATCGACGATGGGTTCATAATCTGGCCCGGTACCAGAGAAGACTTGGAGCGATTTCTCTACACCTTCAACACCGTCGACCCCAACATACGGCTTACGTGGAGCGTCTCCGACAAGAGAGCGGATTTTCTGGACCTGGTCATACACAAAGGTTCCCGTTTCTCACGAAGCGGTCTACTCGACTTAGAGACCTTTCAGAAACCCATCAACCGCTACCTCTACCTCCCCTTCTCCTCCTTCCACCCCCGGCACTGCAAGGAGAGTTTCATCAAGGCGGAGCTGAAACGCTATCTTTTGCGATCTACGTCTCCGTCTACTTTCCTAGCTACGAAGCAGGCGCTTTTCCAGCGGCTTCGAGTTCGGGGCTATCCTCCACGTTTCCTTTTACCTCTCTTCAGGAGCGTGCTGTTCTCCCAACGTTCATCTCTCCTCGAGACCACTCTCTCAAACCAACTCGCCAGACAACATTTACCACCGAACCGCGGACCCCTTGTTTTGAAGACCGTTTTCACACCAATGACGGCGCGTCTCAAGCTTGGGGTCGTTTTGAGTCGACTCAAAAGCAGACTCATTACACGCGGTTTCTACATTGAAAAGTTATTTGTTGCATGGCAGGTTGGGAAGAGTGTACAGAGAACACTTGTTCGAGCGAGACTTCCAAGGACTCGCCCCCGAATTTCTCTTGAAGCAGACGTGGACACTTCGGGTTCACCCGAGTGAATACGATTGGCCAGTTTTCAGATTGTCGGGCCAAGGGTAGTTGGAGACTTTGCCTCGGCTATTTTCTAGGGCTATCCTCTGTTTGTTATATAGGGGTTAGCTTTGCTTGCTACTGAATAGGAGTTCGGCACTGATGAAGGTCTGATCGGGTTTTTCCCCCGTGATAGGCCGAAACATGTTTGTCTTTGTCTTGTTTTAATCAAGAGACGAGTTCCTGCGCAAGCCTTTTCTTTAGCCGAGCATTCAGTTTAGTGGACGGATTTTTACAAGGCTTTGATCCTACTGCTAAAAGGATCTCTATCTTGCTGCTCTTCCCCGATGAGTGAGGACCCGTGGGACCTCACATTCATTTCCTCACATGCCGCTTCCCTTTTGCATTCTGTTTTCGGTGGTCGTGGTGGTGGTGGTGGAGGTGGTGGTGGTGGTGGAGGTGGTGGTGGTGGTGGTGGTGGTGGTGGTGGTGGTGGTGGTGGTGGTGGTGGTGGTGGTGGTGGTGGTGGTGGTGGTGGTGGTGGTGGTGGTGGTGGTGGTGGTGGTGGTGGTGGTGGTGGTGGTGGTGGTGGTGGTGGTGGTGGTGGTGGTGGTGGTGGTGGTGGTGGTGGTGGTGGTGGTGGTGGTGGTGGTGGTGGTGGTGGTGGTGGTGGTGGTGGTGGTGGTGGTGGTGGTGGTGGTGGTGGTGGTGGTGGTGGTGGTGGTGGTGGTGGTGGTGGTGGTGGTGGTGTGGGTGGTGGTGGTGGTGGTGGTGGTGGTGGTGGTGGTGGTGGTGGTGGTGGTGGTGGTGGTGGTGGTGGTGGTGGTGGTGGTGGTGGTGGTGGTGGTGGTGGTGGTGGTGGTGGTGGTGGTGGTGGTGGTGGTGGTGGTGGTGGTGGTGGTGGTGGTGGTGGTGGTGGTGGTGGTGGTGGTGGTGGTGGTGGTGGTGGTGGTGGTGGTGGTGGTGGTGGTGGTGGTGGTGGTGGTGGTGGTGGTGGTGGTGGTGGTGGTGGTGGTGGTGGTGGTGGTGGTGGTGGTGGTGGTGGTGGTGGTGGTGGTGGTGGTGGTGGTGGTGGTGGTGGTGGTGGTGGTGGTGGTGGTGGTGGTGGTGGTGGTGGTGGTGGTGGTGGTGGTGGTGGTGGTGGTGGTTGTCCCTCACTCTCGCATACACTCTATCCGGAAAAAAGTTGCACAAGCTACAGACTTGGAAAGAAACTGCTGTGTGGAGGAGTTGTGTTTTGAGTCGACTCAAAACACGAAAACTGCTGTGTGGAGGAGTTCTTGCCTTTCGCGTTCCTTAACTGCACTCTCAGTTGCGTTCCTTAACTGCACTCTCAATTGCGTTCCTTAACTGCACTCTCAATTGCGTTCCTTAACTGCACTCTCAATTGCGTTCCTTAACTGCACTCTCAATTGCGTTCCTTAACTGCACCCTCAATTGCGTTCCACAATTAAAAGGCACCAGCCTGTGAGTCACATCACATGCACTCACTCTCTCGAATAATTCCCTATATTCCGATCACAACAGGAGATGCGGGACTGTGGGTTGGACGACAGTCGCCTCATGCGCACCGTGTCAGACTCCGTGCGCCTCGTGCTGGCAGAGGTAGGTAACCCTGACTCCAATGCTCCTTGACTAGGCAGTAACTCTTATTGCTGTATCAGACTACTGTAAGTCGGTCGAAAGTCGCCTCATGCGCACCGTGTCAGACTCCGTGCGCCTTGTGTTGGCAGAGGTAGGTTACCCTGATTCCTATCGGTTTCTCTAGGTATTATTAACCCTTATCACTGTATCAACCGACTGTGGGTTGGATGACAGCCGCCTCATGCGCACTGTGTCACACTCCGTGCGCCTCGTGCTTGCTGAGGTAATATACCCAAGTATACCTGGTACGCCCCCTAAAAAAAAAAAAAAAAAAAAAAAAAAAAAAAAAAAAAAAAAAACTCTGTGTGGATCTAGTCATAGCTGAGGTAACAAATAATCACTGTAATAGCAATAATTGGAATAGTAGTTGTAGTCATCATAACAATCATAATGATAATAATTATTGATACATAAAGCACTCTGATCTTTTGCCTTTCACGCGTTGTGCTTGGTTGTTGAGACAGTGAGGTCTGACCACTATATTCTTTTATCATTAGCGCCAAACAGTGCATTGTAACATCGTACACCCCGTATACTACCGAATATTGCATGTTGAGATCAGGATTATCCCCCCTCTTCCCCATGTCCCCTCCAATCCCCCCTAGCCCCGCTCGTGCTAGGGGTAGATCACTCCATCTCCTTCCCGGTGGTGCGGGCGGTATCAGAGCATTTGGGCGGCCCGGTCGACATTTTTCACCATTCTCCCCTGTCTCCTTCCTTTTCCGCCCCCGTTTCCTTCCCCAGTCTCCTCTTGCTCCGCTCGTGCTAGGGGGGGATCACTCCATTTCCTTCCCGGTGGTGCGGGCGGTATCAGAGCATCTGGGCGGCCCGGTCGACATTCTCCACTTCGATGCGCACCCAGACATCTACCACGCCTTTGAGGGCAACCACTATTCCCACGCCTCGCCCTTTGCTCGCATCATGGAGTCTGGAGCGTGCCGGCGGCTTTTGCAGGTGATATTGAGAATAAGGTTTTGGGTTTAGGGGTTAAGGTTTATGGTCCAAAGGGTTTGCACACGCCCAGACATCTACCATGCCTTTGAGGCAACCACTATTCCCACGCCTCGCCCTTTGCTCGCATCATGGAGTCTGGAGCGTGCCGGCGGCTTTTGCAGGTAAGATTTATAGGGTTCCAGCCTCCAGGGGTCAAGGTTTAAGGTTCAAGGTTTAGGTTCGTTGAGGTTGCATGCACTCAGAAATCCGCCATGCTGTTGCGGAAATCACTAGTTTTGAGGCGCCTCAAAACTAGACTCCTCACACACGGTTTACATGTAGTGAGGTTGCATGCACTCAGAAATCCGCCGCGCTGTTGCGGGAAATCACTAGTTTTGAGGTTTATTTCCACGCCTCGGTCTTTGCCTGCATATGGAGTCTGGAGCAGCGTAGGGCTTAGACACCAATGACCTCTCCCACTGACTTCCTGCATCCGCCCTCAACTCTCAATATGCTCTCTGGTGGGCATTCGGTGGACCAACGAGAAAGGATGGGAGCAGGGCAGGCAGTTTGGGTGAGCAGAGCAGGCCAGGATGGTTTTGAGGCGCCTCAAACCCAGTTTGCCACATCCCGGGGTTTGGGTGAGCAGAGCAGGCAAGGCACCTCCGTGATAACAGCTTGAACACCCTCCGTGCCTGTGTTTCACGAGGTGATGTGGCCTTCCTTTCCAATGGTTCAACTTTTGAGAACTCTCAAAAGTCGCACCAATATAGCTGTGTTTCACGATGTAATGTGGCCTTCCTTTCCAATGGTTCAACTTTTGAGAACTCTCAAAAGTCGCACCAATATAGCTGTGTTTCACGATGTAATGTGGCCTTCCTTTCCAATGGTTCAACTTTTGAGAACTCTCAAAAGTCGCACCAATACAGCTGTGTTTCACGATGTAATGTGGCCTTCCTTTCCAATGCTCGCAGGTGGGCATCCGGTCGATCAACGAGCAGGGGCGGGAGAAGGGCAGGCGGGTGGGGTGAGTGAGGGATGATGCTGACTACAGCATCCGAGCATGGATGCAAGGCGTGTCTAGAGAAGCATCCTTTTTGGTCCCTCTCGCCTTTCCTCCCACTGCCCGCAGGTGGGCATCCGGTCGATCAACGAGGAGGGGCGGGCGCAGGGCAGGCGGTTTGGCGTGGAGCAGTACGAGATGAGGCACTTCCACCGCAACAGAGAGATGCTGGAGAACCTGGTGGGTGGGGAGCGGTGGTAATGGGTGTGTTGTGTGTGTCTACAGTGATGGGTGTGCTTGTACCAAATGGGGCAGGTTACTACCACTGGCTTCTTGTGTGGAGCAGTATGAGATGAGGCACTTCAACCGCAACAGAGCGATGCTGGAGAACCTGGTGGGTGGGGAGCGGTGGTGATGGGTTGTGGTGACGGTGCTGGTTTTGAGTGTGCATGTAGTGATGAGTTCTTTTACTGACTGGAGCTGGTCGTACCCCCCGAATTCTTGCGTGGAGCAGTATGAGATGAGGCACTTCCACCGCAACAGAGAGATGCTGGAGAACCTGGTGGGTGGGGAGCGGTGGTGATGGGTGTGCTGACTGTGGTGAGGTGTGCGGGTGTGTGGACAATGGTGGGTGTGTTTTTAGCGACTGGAGCAGACTAGTCCACTGACTTCGTGTGTGGAGCAGTATGAGATGAGATGAGGCACTTCCACCGCAACCGAGAGATGCTGGAGAACTGGTGGGTGGGGAGTGGTGGTGATGGTGTACTTGCATCGCTATCGCTATACTTTTAGTGGGCATAGTTTTGAGTCGACTCAAAACTGAGTTGACTCAAAACTGGTGGGTGGGGAGTGGTGCTGATGGTGTACTAGCACCGCTATCGCTATGCTTTTGCTATTGCTACGCTTATGCTATCACTATGCTTTTGCTATTGCTATGCTTTCAGTGGGTTTCCACAGAATCCACTTCCGCTAGTGATCGTTCTCCCCACTCCCTGCTCCTCCTGCTCATTTCCTTCTTCTTTCCCTCCCATCTTCCCTCCCATCTCCCCTCCCATCTCCCCTCCCATCTCCCCTCCCATCTCCCCTCCCATCTCTCCTCCCATCTCCCCTCCCATCTCCCCTCCCATCTCCCCTCCCATCTCCCCTCCCATCTCTCCTCCCATCTTCCCTCCCATCTCCCCTCCCATCTCTCCTCCCATCTCCCCTCCCATCTCTCCTCCCATCTCCCCTCCCATCTCTCCTCCCATCTCCCCTCTCATCTCCCTTGCCTCTTTTCTTCATCCTCGGAAATTGGGCCAGGGGGTGAAGGGGGTGTACCATGTATGTCTCGATCGAAATAGACTGCCTCGACCCCGCCGTTGCACCTTGTGTGCGCCTCTTTACCTCATTCCTCTCACTCCTCCCTCCCTTGCTCACCACCAACACCCATCAGGAGCTGGGCCAGGGAGTGAAGGGGGTGTACGTATCGATTGACATAGACTGCCTTGACCCCGCATTTGCGCCGGGCGTCTCCCACATTGAACCAGGCGGCCTCTCCTTCCGCGACGTCATGAACATTCTGCAGAACCTCAAAGGTGAACAATCTGGTGAACTTACTGATGAACATTCGGCAAGTGAACTCTCGGTGAAAGTTCATATCACACTGCACATTGAGCCGGGCGGTCTCTCCTTCCGCGAAGTCATGAACATTCTGCAGAACCTCAAAGGTGAACATTCTCCCAGTGAACTTTCAGTGATAATTCACTCCAAGCAGCACATTGAGCCGGGCGGCCTCTCCTTCCGCGACGTCATGAACATTCTGCAGAACCTCAAAGGTGATCATTCCGGTGTATGTTCTGGTGAACATTCCCCAAGAGACCCCTTTGTTTTAGTTGCTGCACATTGAACCGGGGCGGCCTCTCCTGTTGCGACGTGGTGAACATTCTGCAGAACGTCAAGGGTGAAGATTCATTGAACATTCAGTTCAAGATGGTGATTGAGCCAGGTGATCTCTCCTTCTGCCATGTCATGACATGAACGTTCAAGATGGTGCCGAGCCCGCACCACGTTGTGATCTCTCCACCACATTGCCTGGCAGCGTGGTGGAGCTCAACTCTCCGTCCCCCCCCCCCCCCCCCCTGCCCCTTGCTTCCTTCTCCTCTCCCTCCAGTTTCCCCACACCTCCCCACACCTCCCCACTTTCCCTGCCAGGCAATGTGGTTGGGGAGAACGTGGTGGGGCTGAACCCGCAGTGCATGTTTCCCCATCTCCAACCCCCCATCCCCTTGCTACCCACGCTCCCCCTCTGCTCCCACTGGCCTGCAGGCAATGTGGTGGGGGGGGACGTGGTGGGGCTGAAACCGCACTGTATGTGCCACCCACACCCCCTCCTCCTCCCCCTCCCCCTCCCCCTTCCCCTCCCCCCCCTCCCCCTCCCCTGCCTCCCTTCCTTCCCGCACCATCCCCCTCCCTGCGCTCCCCACCAGGCAATGCGGTGGCAGGTGACGTGAGTTGAACCTACAAGGTGGATGGAATGGCAGCCATGGTTTCTACACGCTCAGCACATGTAGCAGCGCTCGTAGCTTGATATATTCCCATTTGCTCCTCCTTTCTCCGCCAGGCAATGTGGTGGCAGGTGACGTGGTGTGGTGGAGTTGAACCCACAGCGCATGTGCCACTCAACCCTCTCATCCCCCACCTCCCTTCCTTCCCACACCTCCCCCCTCCCCGCTTTCTCCGCCAGGCAATGTGGTGGCGGGGGACGTGGTGGAGTTGAACCCACAGCGCGACACAGTGGATGGAATGACAGCCATGGTTGCTGCCAAGTTTGTTCGTGAGATCGCAGCTCGCATCTCCAAGTAGTGGTCTGGTACCACTACCACGTGTAGAACACATACTTACAACACTGCCACTTAGAACCTATTCACCTTTATATGGTGATTATATGTCCCTCTCCCAACAGTCATAACACACGTTGGCGTCTCATTCTTCAAGAATTTGCCATTGGATCTTGGACAACATACAATTTTATTAGTAACAATGTCAATGCATTGTTAAGGTCAATTATTTTTTGACGAAGGTGTACGCGTCTGAGTGCAGTGTGTATTTACTTCCGAAGATCTTTGTTTCGATACGAAGGCCCCACAGTGCTCCGCCCAATTGACGGTTTGCAACGTTGGCCAGTCGAGCCCATACCATTGGACCCTTAGTTCCACTGTGACAAGAATAGCAACCACTGGGTTGACACGGTGGAGCAGGTCGCAAGCGCCTCCCCCTTAGCGAAAATGATTCTGGCTGATCCGATTCAGTATTTTGGGATGAAATACAATAATATGTTTCAAGATTGATGAATGAATTAGTCAAGGTGTAGGTGGAAGGAGGCTGGGGTGGTACGGATTATTGAGAGGTTGAGAGAGAGGTCGAAAGCTTTCAGGGTCAGGAATATAGCGCAGAAACTGGAAAAATATGCACTCTTGATATGTGAGAAAATAACGTTCGTACCATAAAATGTATAGATCAACAGCGTGACTACCCTCATCCGTCTCATCTTGTGGCATCCCTCCAGCGCACACCACCGCCTTTCTGTGATCCTGCACTGTTGTACACCACAATCAAAGCGACCTGAAGCTTGTTACAGAAGATGCACGCGGCGTGCCTCTGAGAATCTTTTGCTATCCAGACTAAAGCGTCCGATCGAAGCTGCTGCCACACGTGCTCGTCTTCAGCCCTTCATGTTTTCGGATTTGTAACAGATTTTGAAACTCCTCCTATCCCATCACTTGCATTCAGCCTCAGCTCGCGGGCGGGCCGCACTATTTGAACTGGTTCTCGAAGCTCGAGCTTCGCAGCTTGTGGGAAGGATTCTCACTGCTACGCGGAGATCGTCTAAATTCATGGAAAGTTGCAAGTTACTCGCATCAGCGTGCTTTTCTTTCCAGCTCAGTCGAATGTCTCCACTGCTTGTCTCTACTAGCCGGCTTTTACTTCGAAATGACCAATCTGCCTTCATAAGCGCAGAAGCGCAGACTGTAGTACATGTACTAACTTCATCACCTCCACCGCAATGCAGTGATTACTGTAGTCAATTTATTTGCAGCGGCACTGCTCCAGTCCTTACTAACCTGAGAGCACTGTGTCGACGAACAGAACCCGTCGTGTCGTTCGTTACCGACGACTCGAGAAAGCAAGAAATTTATTCTACTGGACTCTGTCCCTCCCGACGAAAGACACTCTGGAGGCACTCTTGGGGTCCATAATTCTGTCGCCCCCAGATTCGCTCCCGCGGCTTGCATTACGGGCGTAGACTATCTTCGAACATCGACGAGTCGCCGCGATTATCATGTCGCATCCGAGTCAGCACGACGTAATCGTCCATAGGGGTACCGAAGTTTCCAACGCCGTCTCCGCCAGGGGCGTCGGCGGTTCGACCGAGGCTCATCATTTTCGTCAGCACACTCATCATCCCCCACCCGCGGGCGGCCCGTTCCAGTCGCCAAACCTCACGGAGACGGCGCTCGCGGCGATGATGCATCGGCAGCGGACCGCGGTCGAAGCGTGGGTACATCAGCTGCAGCTTGAAGGCAGCAGCACCACCAATGGCGGCATGCCGCCGCCCGCGGCTCGCGCCGACAAGCGGCTTGACGTTTCCGCGGCCGAGTCGGCATCTGTAGTGGTACCTCCCACCGTCGCCAACTCGGTACGAGAAAATAATAAGACCACCGAATCAGCTCAAGGTTACGAGTCGCCGGCCCGTCTCGCCGCTCAAGAGCTTCCGGAGCTGCTCGAGCGTTCCGCCGAGGCTGCGCGTTTCGCGCAGCTGCAGATCCTCTCCGCCGCGGAAGAAAGAAGTTTCTCTTCGGCGGGCGGAGCTGTTGCAAGCGGAAAGTCTGCGCTTCCCGGGCCGCGGTCAGTCATGCCTCGCGACGCGCCTTTCTCCGTCGGCGATCCCGTCGCCGCGGCGTCGCACAATGTCGCGGTTACCAGCTCAAGCTGTCGCACGCCAGTGTCGCTTGTCTCGTCGCCAACTTCACAGCCAGGTTCTGCCGCAAACGCTCTTCCTTCAACTTCGAATCGCCGCGCCGCTGGCCATAGTCTCCGTCGGCCCTCGCGATTTCACCGGCAACCATTTTCAGCAGTCGCCACCTCGAAAGACTTAGGTATGGGCGGCACTGAAGGGCTTTCCGAAGGCGGCGACACTACTACTACTAGTAATACCAGCATACCTACGAAGGAGGTAGAAGAAGACGATTTGAATGCAGAGATGTTCGGAATGATTTCTTCGGGGAATGCAACCGCCGGCGGCGCCGGCGGCCCGAGCACTCTTGACATATCAGCTTCTACCAGCTCGCAATTTCATGGTCGTCGTATTAATGATAACGGGATCCACGTGGGCGGCAATGCGGGATTCTTGGAGGGTGGCGCCGGATCATCATCACAACTTCCGGAAACGGCGGAATGGGCCCCCTCACAATCTGGGGACGAAACCCCTTTGGAAGAGTTTCTTCGGGGTATGATGGGTCGTAGTTCGAATCCCCATGCTGGCACAAATTCGGACGGAAATGCCAACGTTTCTGCTCGTCCCGAGTTCGCCATTCCTGTGCCACCGGAGCAAAGGCCGCAACACATAAGCGGTTTGCAAGCGGAGATCAGCTTGACTACTGAAATACCACGGCCAACTCGCGGAGGCTCAGACCCAAACGCCACGCTGCTTGTGACTAAGTCTGCATCGCCACGTGTCGCCGAATCACCTGCTACCACCTCTGGTTCACCTAATCTCTCCGGGTCGCCTTTGGCAGGATCCGCTGGCCTGTCGAGCTCCATGCCGAGGCTCTCGGGTGAAATGGCACTGGCTGCGAGGAGTGTTGGCAGCAGACGAACCATGTCACTTCCTGGGGACGAGGATTGCATGCTTGCAAGGGCTATGCTTGACCTAGAAGAAGAGGCCCTGGTGCAAGAGCTTCTGAGGTCGGACCCTAGGAGAGGTCAAGCCGGCATGCTGGTTGATGGCGGTGGTTTGGATGGCAGCGACTCTCCTGCAGCAGCGGGTGTTGGGGCAACTGCGGATGTTCTCGGTGATGATGGGGATCCTGCAGTAGGCGCGGTGAATTTCAGTGCAGATTTGGCGGGAAGGTTACAAGCAGAGCAATTGAGCCTGGTACGTCAGCTGCCAGACAGCTTTGCAACGGGGGATTGGCGACCTAGGACCCGGACACGCTTTGATGCAGAAGCTAAGGAGAGGGGGGTCATAAAACCGAGAAGCATGCGCGAAAGGAAGAGACGAGATAAAATAAGGTGTGTTCCCAGCTCTTAGTGCACATTAGGGCATTTGTTTCCCTTGCACCTGGATTTTTACGATTGAGCTTTTATCATTGCAGCGAGGGGTTGCAGCAGTTGAGGCGGACGCTACCAGCAGGAGCGGTGGGACCACAAGTAGACACTGCAACGATGATTGAGGTGGCCATTTCCCATATAACGCACCTTCAGGTAAAAAGTGTCTTCGTTTGCATTTGGCGAACCTTGATTATGTTTGAGATATCTCATGCTCTTGTTTACCTCTTTTGCAGTCTCAGATTAACAGTTTGGAGAGCGCGCTTATGGTGCAGAGCATGATGGGACAAAGGGCTAATAAATCACATGTTAGGGAGAGACAAGACAGGCTTTAGCTCATGACACATTTCTTTGGAGAAGGTTCCCATATGTTCATAATGGGTGATTGCACACCTGTAATTAATTATGTTTAGTTCGAACTTGTTCTGGTAGTGTGAACAATAGGAAAATCATGGACAATGGACCTATTTTCACAATTCTTATGTGGCTCAGGTTTACCGCCTCTCACCGTGAGACAGCGAACTTGACCGAGATAACGCCCCAAGTCGCATAAAAGCCACCCAGCGCCCACCTACCACGGAATACATGTCAGCAGCGGTAGTATTGCAAACGTGGGACAGGAAGCGCCTGCACACGTATTCCTCGTGGTTTTGGGGCCCACACTTTCGTTACACGTGTACCAGGTAAGAGTACGTTCAGTAAGTACGAGAGTTTCTCGCAGCAGCCCTCTCCGTGGACAGAACTCAGCGACTGCTGCTGAGTCCTGACTGATGGTTTGAAGATTTGCGATGGTCAACAAATAGACTCGCAACGCACACTCGGTGTGTTCTGTTTCACTGAGGGGAATCCGCCGCCTTTGCTCCTCTGGTCGATGCTTAGTTTGGGGCGGCAAACTCTTGGAAATTGCGGCCGTTGCGCTCGAGCATGCCCCGTCATTTCCGGTGTCACCCTTGGTCTGTTGAAGGGGCAGGCGATCGTTTCCTTTTGGCCCTTCAGAAACGGATGGCGTATCTGGAATCTGTCGCGCCACGCGTGATCCGCTAGCAGACAGCTGCATTTATGTGGCTATTAATCTGGTCTGGTGTTGAGGCTCCTCGTTGTTTTCGGTCGCGGCTTTTGGACGAAACAAGTTCTCCAACTGCCCAAACCTCCAAGTCGAATCCAACGAAATCCTGTCGATCTGATTATTCACACCGCCAACAAGGATCACCCCACCGTAGTACCTACGGGCCACCCTCCTTGCGTAACTAACGTCCCGTTTCCCGTCCGTCCTACTGCGTCGCCTCTCCCCTTCGACCCTTCGACCCTCCTTCCCTAGAAACTCGACTTTAGTCTTATGAAGAGGCGTTTGGCCAACTTGTGACGTCAAGTTGTGATCACGCCACGTCATTGAAAGGCTTTGGTGCAATGGCAGCTCACCTACAATCGCCTTTAAGTGGTTGTTGTGTGATTTCTCCGTTATCGAAGAATCATGCAGTCCACACGTCGCTTTCTGTACTATCGGAGGGTAGTGCTACGTGTTCCCGATGGACTAA